GTTTAGGTTTAGATTAGGTACTTAGGTTAATTTAGATTTAGTTATATGAGATATCTTAAGACACACAGAGTGTTAGACACTCTAGCGATGTTAGCCTTAAGGATCCGTAGAGTAAGTAGCAGTAAGAAGTTTATGTATACTTAACTGAAATAACATATGTTCAAATGATGAGCAGTTGAATAATTCTTAGTCGGAAAGCACGGGAGACCACTTCGCCCACTGCCTCATCGCCTTTGAGAATGTCCACCGCAGATGTGGACGAAACGTCAGGAAAAAATTCCGATAGACCACGGCTTCAAAGCCCGGAAAACATTCCTAAATGTAATCTTACTTTTTTTTGAAAATACGGTTTTTCGATAATTTTTTAAAAATTGATTGTCTTAATAATTTTATTTCCTTAATTAGTGAAAGAATTTGAGCTCTTATTCTTTTAGGTATTTCCAAAAGAAAGAAGCTGGTTTATCACAAAATGCCCAAGCCAAAAAAGAATTTTGTGAGCAATGTGGAATTATTTATATTCCATTCAATAAAAGGCCAGATAAGCTACGAGATAGGTTGAAAGAACTTGAGGAATACTTAGTTCATAATAAGATAGTGTATTACAATTGGGACGATAGCAAATTAAAAATTTTACTATCCACAGGCCTTATAGTCAATTTGACTGTCAACTTAAAGACTGGTGATCTAATTAATATAATTTTTGATAAACAGTTATTTCTTAAGCTGCAGGTTAATATAATTTCTGACGGTAAGATGTGAAATGTATTTTATTTTCTTTAACTTAAACTGTAACATTACGTGCAGGTGCAATTTTCGGGTCACAAGTGATTTGTGTATGTAATGATGGTCATGTATTGGGCTTTGGTGGTTCATGGAAAGATGGTTGGGTTTTGGATGGAGGTCCAAGACGACGGCTACATTACCACAATGATTGGCTGGTAGTGTACGGGAAAACGGAGGCAGAACATCCTCAGCCTTGGAGCCCTCTAACTAAAGATCATCAAAGGGCAAATTTACATTTGTACTGGATCGGAAGTAGGGATCCGGAATTGTTAGCTTACAAAAAAACCGATGGAGAACCTTTGTTGATTGTTATAAGCAAGATTTGCACTAGAACACTTATTGTAGTTGAACAGAAAGTTTCACAGAAAGGCAAGATTTTTGGTAAAGTAACTTCGAATAAATTTTGAATGGATACATTTTTAGGGGCTGTGTCAGTGGAAGTTAGTAATTTCGAATTAATTGCGAATACTCTTAAACGAATCTCAGTAACGTCAGTGCCTTTACAAACACATGTAAGTTGCACTGTTTTAAGCGATAATGAGGAGAGGCTTTTGATAGGCTGTATAGATGGATCTCTGGCAATACTAGACCGAAATCGAGGATCGACAAGAATTGTTAAAGCTGCTTTTATTGCTACCTTAGCGGCTTGGCATCCTGAAGGGGTACTAATCATTTGATATTTTTTTCATAGAATGTTAGCAAAATAATTGTCTTCTTAGGCAATTGTAGCTGTTGCCAATGAGAAAGGATATATCCAGTACTATGATACCGCACTTAATTCAATCAAGAGCCAATTAACTAGTGAAGATTGCACACCTGCCACACTCCTAGATTTAAGCGGGTATTTTAATGCCCAATTTAATGTAGTTTCCTTAAGCTGGGGTCCAAAAGACTTAGTCATCTCTTTTGAGCAAGGGCCTTTGGCAATTTTAACTCATTCGGAAGGCTCACTGGGTTTTAAAGCGATTGCTCGGCGTTATATCAAATCTGGTAAATAACTATTCGTTACACAGTATTCGGCAATCAGCGACATTTCTTCCAGGTAAAATTGAACAAGCAGTTCGTCTGCTTTTAAGCTGGGACTTTAGTGAAAAGGTTTTTTTCGTTTTGCATCAAATAACCATGCAACTTCTTAGGAAACCTCTGACTGAAGAAGTTGCTCGCTATCTCCAGGAAGCATTAGGCTCGTTTCACAGTTCGCCCATACCGTTACCAACGCAAATAAGGCATAAATTCGGTCATCAAGTAAACAACCGATTTTAGACTCCGGTGCAAAATGTCCATTTGTATTTGCTATTTTAGGTCATGTGTATAACAAGGCGATTTTTCTACCAACTAGTTCGAACTCGCATGTTTGAAACGGCATTCTTATTGGCTGTGGATGTGGGACATCACGATTTATTTATGGACTTGCATTATATTGCGGTCACATTAGGTGAAACAGAAATGGCTGCAGCTGCTAGAGCTCAAGCTTCAGCACTTCTAAGCCGATGCTCCAGTGAAGGTAAGGCACTACAAAATACACCGTGGTACATGTGTCCAAAAACGAAATGAGGTTGAGATACAGCGTGTTAAATAGTTAAAGCTTGTTTTTAGAAAAACGCGTATTTTACGTCAAAAGCCCTTGGTGATATTGTTGAGTTTCTCACAGTTTGTTACTAATCAAGCTAGATATATTTTAGATCAACTACAATAGAGTCTTTGTACATTTTTTTTAAGTATTTGAAATATTATACTATATGTATATTTACTGACTTTTCACACAATCAATCACCTTATTTAATGAAATAAATTATTTACTTAACTGCACGTGTTAAAAGATGTAAACTAAACGGCAAGCTTGAACCTCTGTTCTTGCAGCCCATGGTCGTCTGCGATGATGTCACAGCGGCAAGGGCTCCCTATGCGGTAGCCCGTAAGCTTCCCTGGTCCCCGATTGGATACATGCGAGCTAACACTGAACATATATTTAACTTCTCACAAAAATTATTTCTTAATTTACTTATTACTAAATTTTTAGCCTCAAACTGCTCACGATCGTTATGCTCTCAATGTTCGGATAGTGAGAGTTGTAGCAGTACCGCAAACTATGAAGGCAACTTAAATAACACAACTTCAAAATTAGAGTTATCTGCCGAAAACGTTTTAACAACCGATTTTATGCAGCCAAGTCCAACTACATATAGGTCGGAAAATGAAGTGAAGACTGTTGAGATATCTAAAAAACCGTTTCCCCTCAAAGCAACTTATGTTAAAGCTCCACAAGTATGGGAAACAATTCAAGTGCGATTTCATGATAATTGATTGATTGTGACCCTTTTTAGGTGCCTGCTGATTTTTTGAAACAAACGCTAGTGCCTCCACCGGTGCCACAGTTACCTTTCTATAGAGCTTTGGAAGCACCTTACAGACCTCAGTATGTGGAAAATGCAGCCAATCAACTAAAACCCACCAGCTCAAATCAAAAAGATATAGACACGACCAAAAGTAATATTCCGACAAATCAGAATATGGATTATAATATTTCTGGACTACCGCAATATTCAACGCATATACCGTCCAATAATTTCAACGTTCTCAAGGAGTCCAAACACCATTATAATTCCTTAAGCAAAGAATCTCCACCCCTACCTCGAATTACAAATATCAGCTCCAAATTGTCCAGAAGTTGTCATACCTTGAATAATCAAGATGAGCGAGTGGTAACTTTACCTCCACCATCTGCGTTTTTAAATGTTGAAAATCATCTGCCATTAGACAACCTTATTGATTTTGAAGAATCAACGCCAAAAATACCAGCAACAAGCACAACAACTAGCTTGAAAAAAGTGCACACTAAAGTTAAGTTTTCAGACACTGTTACAGCTTTTATAGTTCCTGAAGTGAAGCGGGCTGTTAAACCACCCTTGCCATCACATATCACCGATCCTCAAAGAGAATTAGCCGAAAGTTTACCATTATGTCATCCAAATGAGGATTATTTGAAGGATTTTGCGCCAGTCCGGAAAGAAGGCGATATTGAATCAAGCGAATCTACCGCTCCGCCAAAAATCAAAGTTGTACACTTCGGAGTTGTGTAAGTGTGTTCTTATTAACTACTGGTTTCATATGAATTTGCAAACTGTTAGTTGATCAGTATTACTTTCATTATCTTAATTTCTCAACAATTTCAATAATATGATGATATTCTAAAGAAATAAGTGACTTTCACTCTAACAGTATTATTTCGTATTATTTTGGTGACTGAACTGCAATTTTTATTTTTTTTGGCTATTTTGGCAAACAATGATTGTAGATGTTATAGACAAACATCTATTAGTAACTCTTCGCAGCAAAAATGCCTATTTTTAGATGTATTCGGTTTTCTATGGCACATTTCAATGTTTATCATATATATATCAATGATAATCGCGAAAACGTGACGTAATTCATTATATACGAAAGCTTATTTAGCATCGTTATCAACTTTACATTACGCAAATCGGTATTTATATTTAAAGTCACTTTAATATTGTGTAAGTATTGCGGTTTGATTTTTTTTGCAATTAAACATAGTTGAATAGAAGAAAACTCGAAAATAGTTACTTCTGGCTACCTCGAGCAGGGTTTATAATTAAAAAAATAGACGGATTTTTTTTCAATTAATAAACATTAAAAGTTCGAAATAATTTACGAATTTGCGTAACTTGTAAGGAAGAGTGTCGCTTTCATTTGTATTAATTGATATTGATATCAATTTCGTCTATATATACTATGCAAAAACACGAAAAGATTGAAACTCAGATTGTTTCAATCTTACACAAGGTTTGTCACTTTCAACAGTTCCAGGGCTCCGATTTGTTTCACAATCATGTTTGGAAGACGAAAAAAAGCTCTCTTCGCATTATCTTGGATAAATGCCGGATTTGCCTTCCTGTTATTTTAATGCATTTTTGGCAATAATTATCAGTCAAAAAAACATGGATTTTTTCCAGTTTACTTTTTCAAAATCTTTAATCCAACTTTGAACGCAATACATATTCGAAATTTGCAAAACGGTTATTTTTACTGCACTATTTAAGAAGGCATTTTATGTCATTCCTATTACCACTCGCGATAGCATGAATGAAATAATTGCAGTACGGATCCTTTGCATTTTCAGATATTTCTAGAAATTAACGTGATTTAAGGAGTAAGAAGGGTATCTTAATTAGATCATAAATCATCTTGTGAATTTACGTAAATAAAAAAAAAACATTAAAACGTCATTCAAAAACTACTTGTTGACTTGACTATAATTATTATAGATACTCTTAAAAGTAGATTTCGAATTAGTACTAATTTGTATGAAAAATCCAATAAAAATGACCGGAGCTGATATTCAGGGATTTCATAATTTTATCATCGAAGAGCAAAATCTAAATATATTATAGACTTGTGGTGTTTTTTAAGTAATACTCTGTATCATTAAAGTATTTATTCTCTTCGCACTTTTCAGTAGTAACTAATGAACTATTACGTTATTCCATCCTTTATCTTATATAAGTTAATAAATTATAGATTTATTACTGTAAGTTTTCATTTATTTTATACAAATTTTAGTGTATTTTATTGTCTATTGACGTACTGTTTTATGTAATATATTTTGATACAATTTTTTTACTTTGAATATATTTGTCTTCCTGTCTGAATACCGGTTTACGTATTCCAGATTTACGAATTACAAGTCAATTCACAATGAATGTATGTATGTTTTTTGAAGAATTGTAACGAAGCTTTATAATAAAATTTTATCTAGTTGGATTTCTGATGATTATGTAGAAAACTCAGAAAATTCACATTTAAATTAGAAATGATATAACAAGTTATGGCAAACTTATTTTGAGTTTCCAAAAGTTTTCGTCAAAAATTTGCTGTTATTGATCAAAATTAAGTTGATCTTATTGCATTAATAGATAACGACAGGAAAAGATGAGCGCAATGATTTGTATAAGATGATTAACCGGACAAGAAAACTTATAGATCACACGTTTTCAATAATAAACCTTGGTTAAATATCAAATAGTTATTAAACCGTGAATGTGCAGGGCTAAGCGTTGGAAAGAAAAATACCATTTTACTGTCATATACTTTCTCTATAATGGGACTATAATTCTCTATAATGGGAATTATAAGGACAGTAGTAGTCAAAATAAAACAGCTAAATTCCTAATTATTATTGCGTTCGTGATCCGTGCGCGATAAATTCGAAATCAAGGGGCACTTATATTATAAATTAGTTAAATATATAATATATTTTTAGTTAATTCAATTCGTTAGTATTAATATGTATTAATAAGTATAAAACTATATTAACCTTAGTCGCACTAATAAAATATTTTGGCAAAATAAAAAAAAATAGTCTAAGGCAATTCGTAGTTCGTATAATTCTTTTAAATTAAGTAAGTTGATAAATCACTTTATAATTTATTCCCATAAACATTAAAGAACACATGTTGAGATATTTATATGCTTAATCGTAAATATCTGGCAGTCTTATAATAAACCATTAACGTTTACAGTTTTGAAAGTATTTTCAAGCAGTCAGTATTGATGACAAAAACTCACACGTTGCTTGCTGCAAACTACTGCATGCAAGATCTATTTAGCTAAATATCAAATTTACTAGAATAAATACAATAGCTGACATTTTCCCTGCCAAATCACTCACCTTACTTAATATTATTAAAAAATGTAGATACCTGACAGCATTATAAATCATTAATGCTTACAGTTTTAAATGTGACTTTAATCTTGCTCCGAATCTTTGCATACTACCGAAATTCAATGAAATATTAAATTTATAAAAACACATCTAGAAACTGCCAAATCCTCACGTTTCTTAATATTAAACCGTACAACTAAACTCTCTCTAAGTCTGATACCGAGTCTAAATTCCTAATTAACTTGTAGTAAAATGGCGGAATAGTCTTTTTCAAAACACAGTTATAAGTTTTTTTCACTTTCAGTAAATTTATTGTTGGCGTATATATTTGGATGGCAGAAAGAAAATTCCAGGTTTTGCTCGATACGTTCACTTTCCCCACTCTTCCCGGATTCAATTACTATACTGTACTTGCCCAGCTATTATTCTTATACAACTTAAAACAAAATATCCCTTATCATTTTTACTATACACTACGACGGATGTCTCATTGATACTGTATTTATTCTATTGTTTTAGTTAGCAATTACAAGAACAAAAACTTTTTTATACGGAATTTGAATAGAACAAAAATGCTTGTTAATAAAGTGAATTGATTAACCAGCATAGTGTTACATTTGACATTAGAGTCAAATGTTTAATACTTAGGCACAATCAGTACGAGGAGGTAGGTGTAGGTTACTTAATAATGTCTAAAAGCGTGGGAATACTAGAAAGCTTAGGAGACTCAGAATAGAAAATGTTTAAATCAAACTTTTTAGTTTCAAACGTTTCAGCTTTGTTGCCAAAAGCTGTATAATCTTCTGGCTGAATGTTAGATATTTATAAAAACCATGTAGTCAAAACATTAGATTTGTGTCGACTGCTCATCTTGGACCGAGCCTCAAAACTGTATTTCCAATTTATGCTCGTGTTGAAGAAACTTAAAACCATCAAAATTTTTCATGAGCTTTTCAATTGAACTATTTTGATTTCCAGGAGGATGACGAAATATATTTTAAGTTGATAGTTTACAAAAGTAAAAAAGATAATTTACCAAAACCTAAAAAAACATAATTCTACACCTAAAAGTACCTTCTCTTGCGTCAACTTAAACCGAAGTTTAAATATTTGCATTCTAAATTTGAACATAAATGTTACCTTCGAAGCAATCAACAAGCTCCAAGTTTCCAATCAGATATATTAGATTACACAATTGACTCTCAATCATTATTTTCATACGGTTTCAAAAGGCAAAATAAGAAATAAATTAGTTTTCAAGATATTGCTGCTCGCTGAAGTAATTAATGTATTTTAGATATGTTTAAATGTGTGTACTTTTACTTTGCGCCATATAAAAGTGGTAACTAAGGGACCATCACTTTCCATAAATATCTAACGATTAATTTTTTTCACATGAAAATGACAAATTGAAGTATAGAATAAAATAAGGATTAGTTAATTTGTAATGAAACTATATTAAACATCAAGACATATGTTTTGTTCGAAATATTTATAATATAAATTCTAAATATAAAATATATTTAGAAAAGTTAAGCTGAAGGTGTGACGTTGCTTTATGTTCGGGTGAGAAAGTAGAGTGAAATACAGTTGGATTGCAAATATGAGTAACACCACTTTTATAATGCACAAACTACGGCTCTACTATGCCTTTGTCTCGAAATATTAAACTAATTTATAATATTTGTGCCTTGTTAACCTTTTATTTTATATCCATTGTAATATTAGCTGAAATAGGGCTCTGTTCAAAAACCTGTACATTTGATAAGTAAGTACCCTACCAAGTGCTTCTCATTTGGTTGTCTGGCATTCAGTCCTCGGCTATACTAGCTTAAATAAAGTATCAGATTTAGAATGCACAATAATGTCTGTCAAAACGTCGTCTGGTTAGCTGACACCAACTGGCTTTGGCACTTTATCTTTGGGTCCCCATACTCTTATCGAACAGTCATCTGATACCGATACCAACATTTGAGGATAAACAGGGTTCCACGAAACGCAGTTAACGGTACGACTGTGGCCCTGCAAGGTGGCGATCGGCTGTTCATTTCTAACATGCCAGATATAAACCTAGAAAAGAAAAATATCAATAAGCTCTCAAGGGTTCTTCTGTTGTCGAACCGCGATAGAATCGAGTAAGCGATATAAAATATTTTGGTGCGGCTGTCATCAATCAGGCGATTTTTCAAAAGTAAAGTCGTTCCAATAGCAATACATTATAAAATGATAACTGTAGAAGTACGAAGGTATACATACATGATTATCCTCGCTGCCACTGGCGATAAAATCTTGATTGGATCCACCAAAGGTAGAATGAATAGTAAAGTGACCTTGTGTAACTCCTTGATAACGTCTTACTAAATTCTTGTCATTTAGGTCCCACAGATGCACACCTTGAGTCGCTACATTTAAAAGAGCTAGACGATCGTTCTTATCTACAGTAAACGTCATTATTGGATGGTCCTCTTGAATACTGAAAGTATTTGAAACACGGTTTCTATAGTTAAATAAAATTGTATTCTAACTTAGTTGACTCACATTTGTTGGTCCGCTAGCTCGTCAAACACGTAAGCTCGAATTCGGTGATGTGAGTCAGCAGCCAAAACAGTCTTGCCGTCACTGCGATAATACAACCCGTTCACCCTAACGCCTTCCCATGAGTCTAAAATGTTACCTTCGATGTCGCACTGGTGAAAATGACCTCTTATTCCACCAACCTTTAACCAAGTTAACATAATTTATGCAAAAAATTTTAGATAAAAAATATCGGAAAATTCTACCGCGAACAAACGTGAACATTGAACTTACAACAAACTTATTTCCATCTTTATGCCAGGCACAACATGTTAAGGCATCTTCTTGTGATTGAGATACCTTCAAAAATTTCTCGGTATCTAAGTTCCATAACCACACTTCTGGGCTTTCCTCGGGACCACACGCTATCAGATGCTTCGAATCTGGATTCCAACTTATATACGATGCACCTATAAAGACGTTACTTCTTTCAAATTATACGCTAAAGATGGAATCCAAAGGCAACAGAATAATTTTTAAAGATATAGATACTACTAAGTGACGCAGGCAGATGCATAGAATATCATTCTGGATAGCTCCAAACGTTTTTCTTAGTTATTTACGATCCACAACGGATCCAAAGATTTCGTTCTTTTGGTCATAGAAAAGGCAATTCCATTAAACCAATGGTTTTATGAAGAACACACTACATTGGAGGTTTCCTGTAGTGAACCTTGTTATTAGCATCCGCTTATACAGGGTTATTCAGATTATACGACACGGAAGATTGCGGCTAAACTATTTAATTTTTATAAATATAATTTGTGAATAAATGGAATAATTATCGGGGGTACATTTTAAAATGATTCCTAACCTACCTACAAGGTGTCCAAATTACTAAATTCAACCCTAAGTTGCATTTTTTAAAGGAGCAGTAAAGCTTTTAGCAGTGAAGAAAAATAAACATTCTAAGGTATGTATTTGCATTCAAAAGTGTATTTGTAATGATTATGTATTGAAATTATCACGTAATTATTAGCAGTTTTCTTTATTTTCGACGAAAATATATTGCTAACTTCAAATTTCATCTGATGGACAGCAGGTTTTGTATTAGTAACTGTGTTACATCCTGTTATTTGTAATAAATGTGTGTGTAAATTAAAATTTGTGAATAATGGTGATGTGTTGGGCGCCTGGCTTGAAAAATTATAATGATCGTGAAAATGCTCGTTTTTTCTAGTTTCCAAAGGACCCACCCACACAGAATCGATGGATAAGATGGTTAGTAAATCTTAATGTGCTTTTGTAAACTGTCTGTTATAATATTACGGTACTTATTTCTGAGACACACCGTATATACAAATGGCTTTAAATCTGGACTGATGAAAACATATCCACTTTTTATTTTCATTAGAAAAATTACTTTGTAAAGTACTTTTTGCGGATAGAAAGTGACCCTAAATGCAAGCAAAAATCGTAACTTTTCTTTTCAGTATTTTAACTGTAATTCTCAAATTTGCATTAATTTTAAATTAATTAAAAAATTCATCAGTAAGTTTCGCTGATTTCAACTGACTGACTACTTAAATGAGACATGGTTGAAACTGTTTGTTGAAAATAAAAAAATAAAACCGCTTTCGAATAATTTAATTAATTATTTTAATGTATGTATCGCTATCGAAAATAACTTACCATAATTATGACCTTCTAAAATTTTTCTTACAGATAACGTACAGGTTTCAGGATTGACATCCCAAATTATTACATTTGTGTCCTTTGAACCAGTCGCAAGTTTTGTACCATCTGGAGAAAATGCGCAAAACCATACCTCGTCACAATGATCATGCAGTACCTGAAAATTTAACAGAATATAATCGTATAATCCTTACTTCTTGCGTTTTTCTGTCCTTGCAATGAGCAATTATGAGGATACTGTACTAACCTGTATTGTGTGTACGGGAAAGTCATCTTTCGGACAAATATGATCGGAGAGCAGTGAGCAATTTGATAACGTTACTTTTTCCTTCGTATTATGATGAGTGCAGCTAAGTGTTTGTAACTCTAATGCCTGCTCTAAAAGCTGTTTTAAACGATTGGTGGGCAACATCACATTGGCAGGTAAGAATGCTTGCAGTTTCTCCATCAAAATTAACCGTGATTCTTTACCTTTCCCTTTCCTTAAAGTCACGTTGATTGATACCATTAAAGTTCTCAAAATATGTAAAAATGTACTCTTACCAATTCGTTCTTTCATGTAATTCTGCTATATTTGAGCACATCATATAACCAGACAATTGATGAACCCTATTGGTGTTATATTGTAATGGCGTCAGTTCGTTTCTCAAAACATGTAAAGCATCCAAGACTCGCCCATCTTCCAAATATTCTAGATACTTTTGCTCGAGTAGTAAAAACTTCATGTCCTAAATATTATACTTCATTACTACTCAACTTACACACGAAACGAAATGCTTGCTCTGTTGGAACAGTGTTATTTACTTACCATTAGGTTGTTGTTCGCGCCTAACATGGGTCTTAGCTCTTGTAAATCGTGATCAGCTTTATTCCAGTCTCCATCCATTACATGAAGTTTAAACTTGGTTGCCGCAGGATGCTCCAAACGGCATCCGGACTCAGTCATTAAAGCATCGCAAGTATTACTAAAATTGTTATTGGCTGTTGAAGACGATTTAGGCCAGGAGGGTTACAGATTGGCCGGGCTCTAACGTGACGTAACTTAGATCACTGCTGGAATCGCTCCGGAATGCTATTGGAACACTTATTGAAAATATAGAGTTGCGCGAACTTGAAAAAGTGTGCTATTTGCAAAACGAAAAAATAAAAAAAAATGCGAAAATCGATTTTTTTCCGGAAACAAGCGCGTATTTTTAACGGTAAGTATGCATTTTAGAGAAAAAATTTATGCTTATTTGTTCGTTATGAAATGTTCGTGAAGATTGAGATATTTCTACAGGATAAAGTTGGTCCGAAATCTGTAGATTTAAAATATTCGCATTAAAATCCTCGAAAGTGCAGAAAAACTAGGTAAGAAACAAGGCAATTTTTAATTATTTATTTAGCAATGAAAAATAACCCGATTACGACATACATTTAAAGAAAAGCACTTGACTGCAATACAAAACGAGAGTTGCAAGGCCGATTAAGATAGGACAGACAGTTTTTGCATAATGCAATTGTCAAATAACCTATCTGAAAAAATACTTTTTTAAAAATTTTGTGCCAGGCTCAAAGTTATTAATATTTTTTCCGCCCTCGCTATTACATCTTCTTGGATCATTAAACTATCATAAACAATTGCTATATTAACCATTTTTTAATTTTTAATAAATTTTTAAGCGGGTTTAAAAAGTTTGAAAGTATTGGCATTTAAATAAATAAGCCTCTAAAGCGAGAAAAATGACACTCCCAATTTTTCCCACTCGCAAATCCCGCTTCACAGGCTTATTTATTTAAAAACCAACATTTTCTAACTTTACAACTTCTCAAAAAAGTTAGCAAAATTGAAAAATGAGTTATACAACAATATAACAATTTGATATGATAGTTTAAGTTCCAAGAAGATATGAAAGCGCGGGCGAAAAAAATATTCATAAGCCTGACACGAAATTAAAAAAGGTATTTTTTTCCAGTTAGATTAATTTACAATTGCATTACGCAAAAACTGTTCGTCCTATTTTAATCGGCCTTGCGGCTCTAGTTTTGTATTGCAGTCAAGTACTTTTCCTTAAATGTATGGCGTGATTGTGTTATTTTTTCATTGATAAATAAATAATTATTTAAAATTACCTTGTTTTTTACCGAATACATGCGATTGTTTCCGAAAAAAATGATTTTTGCCAGTTTTTTTATTGGTTTTTGGTATGGTTTGGTTTTATTGGTATGGTTTTATATTAGTTTTTAAATTTAATCGATGCTTAGGCAAATAGCACACCTTTTCAAGCTGGCGCAACTTGATATTTTCAACAGGTATACCATTCCCGAGCGATTACAGTAGTTATTTAAGTTACGTCCCGTTAGAGCCATATTTGAAAGAATTCGTCGTAATTCTTCTATCCTAATTATATTACTATCGGATTTTAATTAAAATGTAAAATTAATCACAAAACTTGGTATCTAAAATAAACATTTAATGATGTTAGAATGCAATAAAATTCAAAGTTTCGAATGAGATATGAAATATTTCCACTTAGATACTTACTTCAGTCCTTCGCTGCTCAAATATTGTCCGATGATACGTACGATTTCCTGAGAACTATTGCTAAGAGTGACTCCATTTTCAACGTCTCCACAATGACCATTTGATGAGCAAGAAGCACCATTTTCAATGACGCCGTTACTTGCTGGCTGCTGCATATCGTCAGAAGAAGCCTGCAGTCTGCGGGCTTTTTTGCGCGGAGGTTCACAACCACCTTTAACAAGAATAAATCCACTTAGCTGAGAGTAAATATTTTACTTCTATACTGTTGAGAAACAACTGTTCAAACATGAAAGTAATTTGAATCATAGAATTAGAACAGAACTAAATATGCAGCTTTAGAATTAATCTAATTCTTGATGCGTAATGCCAAAGTATATGTACATTACTCACATAAACTATAATAAAATGCCCTACAATCCCATGAATATTAACACGTATTTCACAACACAGAACATTTGCACGATATTTGAAATTATTATTTCCGATCCGAGTATTTGTACGCTATCTGATAAGTTCTGTGAAGTGATAGTGGTGTGGCTAAGAAATTTTAAAGCTGTTAAAAAAGAATACTTTGAATGTGTTAAAGAAAAACAGCAAATGAAATACTTTCAACGCTTATTTATTGATAGCAGAAAAAATGTATGTATATTTTTATAATTATTTTCTTACAGAAATCATTTCTTAGATGAACTTATGAAGTAATTTATGCTGTCAAATAATCGAAATAGGTGTGTAAGTATCGATCAGTTTAGTATTCGGATTACACATAGATCGGATAAAAAGAACGAAATAGAAATGATAAATAAAATATTTATAGAAAAGTTTGCGGCACAATTTACACAAAAAATCAGTATACTGTATAAGATTACATTAAAATGATAATTATAGTGTATTCCAAATCCAGTAGTAAAACTGTAAAAAATGTAATAAATCATCCAGCTAGAACAAATATTTGCTATAAATCGTTCGCAACACAGAAATAAATTCCTGAGGCATTAAAAAACTTTTTATAACGAATATTATTCGAAGGAATAGTAGTACATTTGAATAATTTCTGTGTGCCGTTTCTAGTTACGGTTACGATATGATTCTCGGAAAATATTGGACAGTTAGAACATATAAAAAATATCTAATCAAATTCGTAAGTTTCGAATAAAACTATTTATTGCAAATTTTAACAACCCTTTAAAGTCATTATAGAAATATTCGTTCGACAGAATATCCGGGGAGACTAAAGATATTTCATTAATGGACAATTTTAATAAAAAATAGTTTAAAGTCCATAGCTACTACTATAGCGGTCCAACTAAATGGCACGCTCAGAGAGCTTATTTTACAAATTATGTTGAATCAAAAATTCGAAACCTAAAGCCTTAAAATTCACGGTTTATTTGGGAACGATGGAAAATATTTGAAAGGTTCTAAAAAAACTTCAATAGATCGTTTCAAGGGTTGTACTTTATACATTAGGGTTGAAATGAAACTTCTAACTTCAATAGAGATAGAGCCGCAATTTAATAAACGCTTTTCCATTTCAATATATTTCAATTATCATTAAAAATAAAACATAATTAAAATTCTTGAAAGCGTTGCAAATATCGCAATTTTAAATAAAATATTAGTCTTTTTTTACGAGAACCATCAAAATTGCTGTTGTATTATGAGCACATAAGCCGAGTAATTTATTTGTAATTTTATTGCTGGATATTAAAATAACGGCTTGCCTACTGAAAAAACTTAATTTCTTTTCTACGGAAACTGTTTCAAGTAATTAACATGCCTTTGAATACAAAGATTAATTACTGTAGAACTTCTTCACACGCTCTTTCTTATATTGTCGTGATAAAACCAAAGATTGTTTTTCTTAATTTTAATATTTTCTTAATTGCCGCTTTCATAAAAAGTGTTTTTTTTAGAGGAATAGAACTTTAAACTGAAATAAAACTCACTAAATTCATGTTAACGCCATGGTACTGCCATTTGGGGCATATGCGCGCCGCGGTTGGTTCGAATGAAAAGCAATCTGGACATTCATTTTTCACCACTTCCAAACTTCTTCCAGGTCATAAAGCACAAAAACAGTGAGTTTCTCTGGACATAAGGGGGTCTCCATAATGGCTTTTGGATTTTCGGTGCTCCAAATCGGGCAATTTTGTGTATTTACGCAACTATTGAGCCAAAACCGATCATGTCGACCTGACCGTAAACCACACGGTGAGTTTGGCGAGCTGAACAGCGATTTTCTAAATAAATTGCGGAATTGCAACAAAAATCCAAAATCCGAAAGCCGTTATTGAGACTCCGTTATATCCAGAACAACTCACACTTTGATGGGCTTTTTTATGGTCCAGTGGAATCAAAGTGGCCGAAGATTGGTCTTCTTTCGGGGATTGCTCTTCATTCGAGCCAGCCGTAGCGCCCATATGCCCCAACTCATATTTAAGCTATAATGGCATACAATTGTCTATTTTCAATAAAGCCAGTACCATGGCCTTAACATGAATTTGATGAGTATTATTTCAATTTTGAAATTTAAAGTTCTATCCTTTAAAAAAAACCCTCTTTAGTTCAGAATTCCTGAATTAACTTTTGCTGCTGTACATATACGTTTCCGTCTGCAAACAACCCCAAAAAACGTGTTTTGGAAAAGCTTGATTGGCAGCTGAAAAATACACTTTGTTCTCTATAAAATCAGAATTGAGTACGTACTAGGAAAATAAAGCAAAATTTCGCAGTTTCCAAAATGTGGTTGTTTAAAAACATTAGAAATACATTAAATCAACAACAATATTTCGTGGTCAACGTCGGGCCTTTTACTCCTTATCAGTAGCGCCCCAGTAATAAGATTAAGTAAAAATATAATAACTAGCAATAGTAAGACAAATCTTAGCTTACCCTTAAAATTAATTACAATTCTATTTGACCTAATTGTCAACTAGAAGGCGGACACACTTTTTCAGATTTAACTTAGTTTGGTAACAATATTTTGCTTCCCGATGAAACGTCAGAAGAAGACGTCTGCAACGAGCATGTTGAGTTGTTGAGACAAAAGATAATCTGAATTCGATTAAAGTTACATTAACATTAACTCTAATTTACAATTAATGTGAATGGAATCTCTTCACATCAGTCTTCGGCAAAAGTTAATAGCAGTATTAATGATTTGCGGAATATGTGATATATGTTTGATGTAGGTTAGAGACAAATTATCGGGATTTATTTAGTCCCTTTATTTTCAGCAACGAATGAAGGTAACCTGACAATGGAATATTTTTAGAGATATATTAAGCGAATGGTTTACTTACAAGACAATCATGTGAACTTGGGTGAAGTGTTCTTAAAAAGCTAACAAAACAGACAAAATGGAGAATGTATTATTCATTCATTTAATTATTGCTGGTCTAGTATTATGCTTCAGCCAATCGTTAATAGTTGAATTAGCGAAAAGTCATAATGGTAATAAAGTTTGCCTCATTCAACCTTATTTTGCAGCTTAAAATGTTAACTCAAGGCTTTTTCTCAGTGGTATGCACTAATTAAAATTGAAAATCTAAAGTTTTTTTTTTATAAGTCAGATACTAAAAGTCGTATGAAACATTTTAAGACACCATTATATTAATTTTTTAATTGCGAATTTTTTTTTAGTTTATCCAACTTCGATTCGACGTTCTTTCTGATCATAGATGCATCACATTCAGCGTGATTGTAAAAACTTGTAATGACTCTACATTAGGAATTCAAGTTGAATTTCATTGTAGTCGTTCCGACAAATAGGGGAAACCAATTCATAGGATTCCACAACATTTCTAGAGGTTATTTGGCTAGTAGAATTAAATTTTGCGTGCGATTGCTTTTGCTAGAATAATTGTCAGTTATCCAGACTTTTAGAGGAACTTTTGAAGACTTAGATGTGACACCCAGCACCTTAAAACTTAATGAGTTGGGATTGAACAGGGTGTACCAAATCAAGTGCGTACTAGCAGTAACTTTGTTAATACCTGGGGAAAAGCCCTGGTTTAAATAGCAGAGCCAATTTTTCTTACTTTCTACCTTTTTAAAAATTTGTTTTTTTCTATCATCTATACAATGCGATGTTGTTGTTTTTTAGTATCACCAGAGTAAAAAAAACTTGCCATTAAACCAAGATTTGTTACCCATTAATCAGAAATTAACCATTGGCCTAGTAGCAGTCTATTGGGTCATTCTATTATTGATTCGTTGTTTATAGATAGGCATTTAAATGCGCTGCTTATGCCAATACGCTGGAAAAGATTATGGACTTGGATTATGTTCCAAGTTGGCATAAAAGTAAATATCTCTATAAACGAATGCTTACTACATTTTAACACAACGAAGTACATGCCATTGAGTGTTTCCGTTTAGACAATGATTATTTAATTATCATTATACAAATAAAAGCATTGATAGGCCAATCTGGCAATGGATTTATGGCAAGTAGAAATAACTGATAATTTGATTTAATCAAAATATTTATGTTAACTATATTGTCGATAATGCTGCTGTTTAGTTTCGGTTGTAATTAATGGATAAGGACCCAAGGAACAGGGGCTCAAGCCATAAGGAAACATTTATTTAAAAGAGCTTGACCCACACATGAAAAAAGAGCGGAAAGTAAATATACGTGGCAAATAACTTCGAGTTTTTTGTCATTCAATATTAATGGGATGTTTAGAAATGACCCAACAACGTAAACACGCCCAGGAGTGTTTGTATAACTTTCGATAATAAAAAGATAATATAAGTTGTTGATGGTGGGCTGAAAATAAAACATGGCATCTGGGATCTGATAGTAACATTTTGCAAATAATAAGACAATTATTTTATAATACCTGTGCAAATAAGGTGAGAACAACATTTAAAACACTTGAGCAAATTTCGATTTTCTTAGAATACTTCCAGAAGTAGCAGGAATTATTCCACGTTTGAAGCACCATTTTGTCAAGCATGAAAATGGGCTACTTTTCCGTAATAACCTACTTCCTATCTCTTATGATTTGCGATATTTTAATGCGCACACCCTGTATATTGTGCCTCTGCTGCTGTAGTGGTAGTTATAGCAATAAAAGTAGAGGGTTTACTCTAAAAGCTATCAGGCAATTATTAAGAAACAAATCGGTTAAGTTCATAGATAGACAGAGAATGTATAGCGCGGTCAGCAATGTCTCCAGACATAACACTATTTAATTTCTTTGAAACTTAGCCTGTCAGACATTACGAAAATATACAGAGTTTCTCATAAAAATATCGACAAACTTTTTTGTAGCTTCTCTACGTGGTATGGAACATCAAGACAACGAATTTTGTTTGATTCATAAACATTTGATCAAAAATGCTGTCTGTTTTGAGATACAGGGTGTTGGTGTGCTTCTCAACCTTTCTGTCGCTTAAAAGATAAGTTTAAAAGTTGTTTATTTACCTATAATACACTGTTGAAAATAATTTATGACAATAATTTTAACTTTAATTCAATTTTAACACGTTAATAATAAGAATACTTTCAGAGAAATTCTATATTCTTTTATATTTTTGATAACAAAAAGTTTGAAAGTGATAAGTTTTATATTCTTGATAACACAAGTAATAAACCTTGTTTTAAAGGGTTTTTAATCGCTGGACCTATTCATGTGAAATAATTTTTACATTGTGCTTAAATTATATTATTTCATAATTACTTTTTTAATTAAAACTTCGTTATACAAAAAGTATTATAATTTTTACTATACACATATCTAAAATTTTGCAGTACACTATAAGACATTCTAAAAACAAAATGTTTACTGGTGCGCCACTGAAGTAAAACGAGACTTTCATAAATTCCCTGTTCGATTAAGAAACTTTCTTCTCACCAGGGCGGCCATTCGTACGGTTACATGTACATGTACATGTACGGTAATTCGGGCAATTGTACGGTGTAGGTCCCGAACGCGGTACCGTCCTCAGCCTTCAATCTGGATTTATGGAATCCAGATTGAAGACCTTTTTTTGTTTTTCTGGACCTTTCTAGTTCAAAATCTCTGGTACGGTAAAATACGGTATTTTCAAATGGCTTGTACGGTAATACGCGTTTGAAAAGTTGGCCACCCTCCTTCTCACTTGCATTTCTGTCGTATCGCCAAGGTTTTAGAGTTACTTGCAAAAAAATTAAAGCATACAATGTAACTTTGCAAGTATTGGAACGATGAAGAACTTAAGAAGAGAGAGTAGTAAACTCTACGAAGTGAAGAACCACCCATTGAAGCGAACCTACAATTTTTTTAGTTTTTTCCTACGGTTTTAATTTTTTTCACCATATCTGTGTACTAATATACATTTTCTGTGTTAAAAAAATTAACATAACTTTTTCATATCTGAAGGAGTCCTTAATGTCATTGTAAGTTTTTCGTTTTTTGATGTGACCACTATTCCATGCCAGTCCTTGCTTATACCTATTTATGTATTTTCACAAAAAAGTCTTAGGTGTAAACGATTCAATCATTCAATCTTATTCAGGAAAAAACTTAAATTTACCAAAAGACGCATTTTTCAGAAAACCGAAAATAAAATTGCGTCTTCATCGGAATTTAAAGTAGGAAAACAATCTTCTAGTTGATGATTGTTTTACCTTCGTTAAAATATGTATGATGCTAATTTTGTGAATTTTATTCATTAACCAGCTTATTAATTTAAAATTACGTATAATTTAAGCAAGTATGTTAAATAAAGTGTATACCTATGTACCTGTTTGAGCTTCAGCAAATCATGATCTTCAAAAAAAACTTAAAATGGTGCAGAAGACCAAGTTAATGGCAGTAAGACAGCAGATCTAGTTCGAACAAAGTGCACTAATTCGAATAGCAAACAAAGCGAACTAAACAGGAACAAAGCATTCCTTTATTCAATACTCATGAGAGAAAGTTAAAAACGATATTAAACTAAAAAAATAAATCTAGTGCGCATCATCAATAAATAATGAATCTTCTAACTACTCCATCTTGTTCTGTGAAATTGCATGCAGTAAAATATTAAACAAAACTCTTGGAAAACTAATGATCTTTGTTTGCTTACCGTCGTCACCTGACGAGTCACTGTCCAGAGTTATTTTGACAGCGCTATTGGCCCCCTTACTTTCCAGATTTTACCGTTCCTGACTTGCAAAATGCAAGTTCTTTGTTTTTCTGGCTATTTGATAGCTATTACGTCATTCGAAAATGAGGAAAAACTGGCTCCTGCGTTGGCCAGATATATTTAATTTGAAGCGCACATTATTACGGTCAGGACTAAATCGGTTTTACTTATTCCTGTACTTCCAGAGTGCATCACACAAAAACAAATATCAGCTGAAAAGCAGTCTGAGACCTGCAAACAGCTGGGAAATGTTTTGTTGACCTCGAAACGTCGTTTTATTTGTCATTTATGTCATAATCACAGGTCAACTTCCATTAAGCAGGCGCAGGTTCCATTTTTAGTTTTCCACCAATCACATTTATCCGTCGAGTGTTTTTGCTAATCAGATCAATAAGTTTAGCGGGGTCGCTAATGTCTATCCTATGCTAGACTTGCGAGTTAAACGGAGATACAGATAAATGCCCACCTGAGATTCGTGCACCAAAAGGTTTTCCTGAAGTTTAAAATTTATGATGTGACTACAATTTCGTAGAATATTGGTTTGTAAAATTTAGAGATCCGGATAAGCGTTGAAGGATGAGATAAAAAGTATAAAGCCTATTTCCATTGTGCAAGCTTTCCAAGTATAAATGCTTGATCAATGTTATAAAAATAAAAACTGTAGACTGTAAATTCACAAATTCTGTGATCTTTTAGTTCTCGATTTACAGCAATTTATTGGGATTATATTTTTAATTCGTTAATATTTTAGCAGATAAGTAGTGAAAATAAAACGAAGAAAATTTAATTACTGCGAAAACTTCTTGAAAAATTCAAATAAAATTGGACAATCTAGTTAGTTAACATACATGCTTTATGTGAATAATGTGGTAAAAATTCCAGTGCTAAAGCGGCAATTAGGCAAAACATTTTTTAGTACATATTTAAATTATAGAAAAACAAAAAAAATTTCTAGAACTAACTAAAACCACATGCATTAAAGTAAAAAAACAGGTACACTGGTATTTTTAACACTTGTTAAAATGAACTACTTCTTTAGGGTAATTAAAGGACGTCATCTTAGTTTGCACTTCAGGCAGCAATCAATACTTTCTAGTCTATTTTTAACTTTGAACGCGAACAGCTGATTAACCAGAAAATTACCTAAAAATGCGATAATGTCATTTGGTATAATTTTCCAAGTTACATTCTATGTATATATATATATGTAATAAATAAAAATTTTATTAGGGTGTACCTCTTTCAAATTGGTCACGCTGTATATTAATCGGATAACCTAAAACCACTCCGAAAAGTAGTTGAGACACGAATGTCATTGATTTGCCATTGAAACAATCACGATAAAATCTAACCCTAATTTTATGCCTCAATATTATTTTAATAGTGGTGATTTAGAAGAGCAGTTCATATATATTATATCATAATCTAGTTAGATCTTATAGAAGGTGTATTTTGAACATCAAATAAGAATGCGTAGTCGAAGTAATTCAGGTGTCCGCCTGGACTACTATCAACGAATTATCCACAAAATCATTATGTCGAAGCAAAATCCAGTTACGGGTTTATTTCCTTTAAATGATCAGAATAACCATGCATGGATCAGGAATAATGTGTACTGTATAATGTCTGTGTGGGGTCTTTCAATGGCCTACAAGAAAATGGCAGATCAAGATGAGGATCGGGCTAAAACCTATGAGTTAGAGCAATCGTGTGTAAAGCTGATGAGGGGGCTTCTGATGGCTATGATGCAACAAAAGGATAAAGTGGAGAGGCACACTTAGTGATTGTCTTTCTTATTTCCCTTGTTATTAATTTTTACGTATTTCAGGTTTAAGCAAACTCAAAACCCTTTAGATTCGCTGCATGCAAAGTACTGTTCAGAAACAGGGCAAATTGTGGTTGGGGATAATGAATGGGGTCACTTACAGATCGATGCCGTTTCATTGTATCTTCTTATTCTAGCCCAAATGACTGCGTCAGGACTCCAGGTATATGGCCCTTCTGGTTTACTGACCAACTATTACATAATTTATTTTAGATTATTTTTAATCTGGATGAAGTATCATTCATACAAAACTTAGTATTTTACATTGAGTGCGCCTATTGCACTCCAGATTACGGAGTTTGGGAAAGGGGAGATAAATCCAATCACGGCCTTCCTGAATTAAATGCCAGCTCAATTGGCATGGCGAAGGCTGCCTTGGAAGCTATGAATGAGCTCGATCTCTTTGGAGCCAGAGGAGGACCTTATAGCGTTATACACGTATTAACAGATGAGGCACAAAAGTGTCAAGCTGTATTACAGGTAATTATTTACTATTACCTATATGTTAGATATACAGAAAGAAAGGTTCAACATTTTCATATGGGCTTATAATTTATTGCTTAGCCAAGCGTATAACGCTCATATATTGTCACGAGTTGTATGTAAAACAAAAATATTTTTTTTCAATTAAGTTCCACTCATGTTGCTAATGAGTTAGTTGAAAATAATAACTAAATTATAACTACTGTACAACTGAGTTCACGTGGAGCGCTAACCTGACTAACGGGCTAGCAGCTTCGAACTTATATAATTCCAACATTGTTGGATCCATTTTAGCATCCCAATTCCCAAAGTAATGATAGACATAACTATCTAAATTTCAATGCGTATAATAATTTTGTCACAGAACTGCTCAATTTAACACACTAGTTTTACTTCACAACATCAGTTTTCAAAATTAATGCCTGAATATGCACAGTTTGATGTGAAAAATTATTTGTTTTCAGCAAAAGTGCAAGAAGTTGAACAGTAGATATGTAACATTAGTTCTTTCGTTCGAGTATTTAGGTAAAATCTTTAATCGTTTTTTTTTGACGGGATTGTTTCTATGGAGCTAAAAACCGTCCTAATCGCTGCTTATGCGCGTTGCCCTCAATATGACTCCAGTAATCAGCGGTTGCGGACCTTTCACTTTCTTAGATGAACCAATTTGTCTGTAATAAACAACGCTCTGTATAATGTGGACGATTTACACTATAGCGTAAGGTCCCCAAGAAAGGCAAACTTGACGTATTTCGGACATTGTTATACATTTAAGTTTTGAAGGTCGCATAATACAAGTAAGAAAGAAATATTTGCTGTTGAACAAGTTGCCGGTCTGATTTTTCTAAAAAATGTATATAACTATTCGAAATAGAAGATGTTCGAATGAATCTATTAGTTGTATTGGTGTTGGTTAGCCGAGAACGTAACATAAATGTCTTCTGCACCCGACAACTCAGACGATGTGGTACATTTGCTACAACATACAACAGATTAACATCACATATGAAATTTGGTGCGTATCGAGAAAATGCAGTTTACAATCTATTTTTATCTTAGTATATCTTTTTTTGGTAACAGCTTATTTTATTTTAGTATATGTATATCAGTCAAAAATACGACTTTTCTAACAAAGCACTAACAAATTGCAATAGAAGAAATACATTATTCTCAAGCCATAACACTTTATATTGAATGTTTTCAATTTCATCGCCTTCAGGAAGGATGAAGCTATCGTGCTGATCCATCTTATAGAGATCACAATGATCTGATTCTTTTACATTAGATATAAGGCTTGTCGAATATTTTGAGCGTTTTATTGCATCAAGAGTCCAATTAATCCGAACAATGATCGCTCTTAAGATGGATGTTGTATCCCAATTTGATCGGATATTATTTTTATTTATTGACATTTTATTTCAATCTTATTTCTGTCTGCACTTGATAACAATATGTACAGTGGATCTAATGAATTGTGTGCTAATGTTACCAATTTCTTCTTTAACCCTGAAACTCTGGACATTATGCGCTGCAAAATATACCATATTTTTGAAAAAGTTCACCTCAACCATGTTTCTTACAACTGAGATAATATTAATTCAAATCGAAATATTTTGTATGTTATTGCATTTCGGAAATTTGAACTATTCATTTGGGTATGTTATCCCAATCAGCTCGTAACAACAATATATTAACATATTTCAGTCGATGCTTCCGAGGGAATCTGGTTCTAAGGAAATCGATAGTGGACTACTTTCTGTCATCAGCTATCCAGCATTTGCAGTAGACGATCCAAATTTAATAAACACCACGAAAGAATCAATAAAAGAAAAATTACTTGGTAGATACGGCTGCAAGAGATTTTTGAGGGATGGCTATAAAACTCCCAAAGAGGTATTTTCTACCTAGTTATTAAACTATTTCATACGAATGGTAATTTTTCAATGCAGGATCCAAGCAGACTGTATTACGAACCATGGGAGCTGAGAATGTTTGAAAATATTGAATGTGAATGGCCAATGTTCTTCTGTTACTTAATTATAGATTCTCTTTTTGCTGGAGACAGAGGGTCGGCTTTAGAATATATTGAGCGTCTGGAAGAGGTGGGTCCTCAAGCTAAAATATATTTAATTTAGAATTATGTAGTAATCTGAACAATACTTTAGATTATGATTAAGACTGAAGATGGAGTGAAATTAGTTCCGCAACTGTATGCCGTTCCTGCTGAACTTGTGGCTGGGGAGTACAGAGAACCGGGAACGCAAAATAGAATCCCTTTAGGTCAAAGTCCTTTCCTATGGGCACAATCCCTATATGTTATCGGGAAGTTACTGGAGGAGGTGGAAAAGCTGATATTTGCGTTTTGGAAAATACATTAGATTTTTTCATTTATATTTATAGAATTTTCTCGCGCCCGGAGAACTTGATCCATTGAATAGACGACTTTGTGCTGAAAAGAAGCCAGATGTTGTAGTGCAAGTAGTGATTTTAGCCGAAGACTCTGAAATCAAAAGTAAATTAGCGGAGCACGACATCCTAGTTCAGACAGTGGACGAACTTGCTCCTATAGAGGTAGAAGATCGGGAGTTAAAAAATAATATAATTTTATTATCGTTAATATCTGCATTGTTTGTTCAGGTTCAGCCCGCAAGAATTTTATCCCACCTATACACTTATCTAGGACGGAACAAGAAGTTAGGTTTAACAGGACGAAAATCAAAAGATGTGGGAATTTTAAGCACTAGCAAACTATATTCACTTGGAGATAAAATATTTGCTTTTACACCGCAGGTATGTTTTTTAAACTAACTTAAACTCATAAATCTAAGGGTGGGTATTATAAATGCCGGGTTGAACCGTCGGTTGACCAACCAAAGTTGACTTCATTAATGTATTATAAAAACTATTGAGCATCGGGTTTGCCAACCGGGAGTTCACTCATATTATCAACGTTGGCCACATTGCGTGAAGAGCATCAGCCAATCAAAACCATTGTTTTCTCGTCAGTTCTGAGAACTGATGGTGCCTGTGAACCTTTACAACATTTCGTTACCCGGCGAATTGCTGTGCATAACAAATGTATGGAAAAGGTAAACGAGTAGTACGTTTATACCTACGCAGACTGCCACAGACTTGTAGATGCCGCTATATCATTGAAAATCGAAAACAAAAAATCGGATGCAATCACGTGCAGGGACTATGTTTTCTTCAAAACTTATTCAAAATTTATATCCTATCACAAGAGAAAAACTACACCAAAACCAAAATATTAATAGCTTACAAAATCACAGGCTAGTTACTCAAAACAGGCGTTAGAGACACCAAAGCTGGAATTGAAAATCTTCTAATTAAAAAATAAATTAGGGCAACAAATTGATTTTTCAGAATAAGTGATATTTTATGTTCTAATATTGGTATTACAGCTTCTGACGAGCTTATTTGTAAAGATAAGGAAAAATCCTAACTGCAAGTGTTGTAATAATTCACTTAAGTCGCAATTTAAGAGTATAAACTCGCAAAAAGGACCACCCGGTTTATAGTTATTTTAACAATCCTACCGATTTTAACCAGGTTCTGCTTGTGAACCGGCACTTAAACCGCTGTTTAGCGTTTATAATACTCAAACTTGCCTCCAACCGTGGGTTGAATCTCAACCGTTGGTCAACCGTACATTATAATACCCACCCAAACTGCACTCAAACCGTGGGTTGAATCTCAACCGTTAGTCCACAGGACGTTATAATACCGGGCCTAAAACGTATTTATGTAATGTCTAGTACTTCATCTTTATCCAGAAGTTAATACTTTCAGTTGGGGGAATCCTATATTAATAATATCTTGGATAACCATATTGAAAGATAGAAATACCGGTTTTTAGTAATAACTTTCAGAGTATTTAAGTAAATTCTCATGAGTTCTTCAATGTACGCAGTAATAAGTGATTAAATTTCATTTGTGTTTCTAATGTACACTAATTTTTTTCTGTGACTAATTGCTATATTACTCAGCCATTATTTGGAATTAAGACTGAATTTATATAATTTATTTCGAATTTAGTAGTTGCCAATAAAGTAGTTTATAGCAATTCCCATAAGAGACGCCCACTGAATCTGCTAACTCATTTCTCGGGCATTTCTAACTCAAGTTCGGAGAGTTGATGCTGATTTGATACTACCTTTGAATTAACTTTTACAAATGTGTGTTTTTTATGATATTAATAGTCCAAGTTGGTAGGCGACGAGTTGATATCTGATTTATATTATCTACAATTACTTTGTGTTTATGTTTGAATAATGTTGCCAGGTGGTTGTATGAAACTAGATTTTTTGAATTGATTAAACTTTCAGTTATTATGGTTATACCCACGAAAGTGCATGAACGTAGTCACCAGAAAGCGATTCTTGGTTATTAAATTAAAAAACTGGGACTGTTTTGCAGCTTTTTAAGGATACGACTGTTACAATTATATGTTTTGTTTGCAATTATAATCTAACTAATATTTTAGTCGCGGCGTTTGGCTATCTTTAATATATTTTTATCATCTATTTGAGCGGTGCAAAACACACATGTTGGCAGCTCAACAATGATTAAACTTATAACGGTAAAACAAGGTCTCGCAGCTTATTAAAGGACAGTCGGGTTTGATTGGGTCGAGTCGAGTCCCAAAAACCAAACGCTAAGTTATCTAAACTGAACCAATCTAAATTAAAAGAAACATAAGTGAAACAAAAATGACAATGAATGGTCTTAAGCGCACATGGAAGAAACGCCTGCAATACTTTTTTCAACGCTCACGGACGCGAAAAAGTGGAATATTTAACTCACGCCCTGCAAAAACGGTTCAAAGTGAACGACTCTAAGTAACTGCTATTTTGTGATGAATCAATCACAACCTAAGCCAGAATCGTATAAGCAAAACATCTCGCACAGACGAAAAAATCCCACCTACAAACTTAGCCGAACTAATGCAGAACTTGAAAGCTACAAAAGCGCTCACTCAGTCCCGAAAAAAACCTCAGAAACATGCGATCGGATTATTTCCGGGACCAAATAGTTACGCTGGTTTATGGAGCTTTCGCGCTCAGCAAATTCCCGATCCAGCTAGCTACAATACTAATCCCCAAATCTTTTTTTTTGTGCAAATCTGTCGTCTGGTTACACCTTTGTGTGCAGATTTTGCAACTGCATTTAAATTCTGTGAAAATAGTACAATAAAAAAATCTCACGCCTTTGGAACCTCACACGAGCAGTTCGATACTCATAACTCGGCATCACAAATGATCAGGATGGTGGAAGAAGAAATCAAGGTATCCAAAGATAAAACCCTATAGAACTAGTTGAAGTGTGGAAATGTACTGGACTAGGCTTAATGGCTGGAGCTGAAAAGACTGAGAATATATTAACGGCTATGACCAAGTGGTCGGAAGCGGAACTTGCATTTTAGCAAACGGAATGGTCTGTAAAATTGGATTTTCCAGGTGATTTTTGCAGGTCGGGGGCAAGCGGTTGGCTTGCCCTGGCCACTTGACTTGGTTGGCACAGTGGATAGTGTAAAGATTAAATGATTCAGTGGGTGTCCTGCTTATGAGTATGTATTTGTTATGTAAAACGGTTTGGTTTTTAATCTTAATATTAGCACACTTACACGCACATATTTGAGTAAAAAATAAAATTCAACAATAATTAGGAGTTTATCATCTATTCATTCGTATCTTGGTTTTAATCAGATGTTGACTTTATTTTTCTTTAGTTTACCGATTTGTCTCACAATTACATTGCGTCTGATTATGAACTGATGATAGACATTTGCAAGAGTGAGATAAATTTTCTGAAGTCCAGTTGGCAAAACATGCTTGGTCGACCGCTCGTTACAATTATATGTAGAAGATTCCATTTAGGTATTGATCTTTATTTAAACCATGCTAATAAATTAACCAAGCTTCTGGGTTTAGAGTGAAATAGCAATGTCTGCATTCGTCTGATGCTTCTAGCTTATTAGTTTAAGTGTTATACGGGCGATCTCTGCTTAGGACCAATGTACAGGAGTCCTGGTTTACTAGCTTATTTTGTAATAGTGTGAATTTGGTTTTTTACTAGAACCCTTTGTCGTGTGCTTAAATAGATCCCGAGGTCGGACACTTGTTTGTTGTTGATAATGTGTTATTTTTTGCATGTGCCTCCGTATGTGTTTCATAATGCTCTTAGAATATTGATATGAACGAATACTACAGCAGTTATGATTTGGCACTACTCGCCGATAAGCTCACGACACATATTGCGTTTTTAACCATGAGCTGGCGTAATCTGCTTGGAAGACCGACTGTTACGGTCGTGGCTACGCGTCATTATTTAGGTAACACTTCAACTTATTAGCATGCTCAGTGGATTAAATGTTAGTAGGTAGGTGTAACTTGATATCGCTGCATCTTAGAGGACACTCGTTGCATATTGACTTGGAATACGTATTATTATTTATAGGTATTCTACGGGTGCCGAAATTTAATTTCTTTGGTCAATGAATGTATGAGTTGAAACAGCGGAATATATGTATAAGTAAGGAACGCGCTGTTGAAGAGGGGGTCTTGCGGGTAGCTTTGGGACGAGTAGGGACGTCCTGCTACAGTGGCCACCATTTCTGTAATTCAATTTTATTTAAATTTTTAAAAAAATTTTGAAATGTTTTTCCTTGAACCATTAAACATGTCAGTACAAATAAATGTCATATACTTACAACTCCAAATTCCGAAATCGGTAGGTGCGTGCAGCCTTAACAGAAAGACCTTCTTCAAATACAGCTTGCACTGCTTGTTTCATCACTGCTTCGTCAATATTTCCGATAACCCTTCTTTTCGGTTTTATACTTTTCTGGGCATGTTGCTTTACTCTTTATTAAACGATAAAATAACAAAATATATCAACAAATCTGAAAGAAATTAATAATTCCGTTTACAGTGGCCCCCTGATTTCATATAATGCTAAGCTGTGGCCACTGTTAACTCTGAAAACACGTCATTTCAGATTTCATAAAAAATAAAAGAAAAATATATTTTGCTATTATTTGCTACTTACCAAAAGAAACTTAAGGAGCCACCCCTTGAAGCCGTTACTAATTTTAAACGATAAATTTCTTATAACGACAACTTTTTCCGTTACTCTCAAGCCTGCAAATCGGGGTGGCTGCGTGATCTAATACAATACCTTTAGCTAAAAACTGAACAGGAAGCCGTTTAAAAGAAATAATTTCAAAAGACGATAGGTCGTATTAGAAAAACAAAGTAGCCAAACGTCCTTTTATTGTTTTTTCTTTTAGGTGCCCATTGTTTCCGCCTTACCACTGTAGCCGGACGTCCCTAATGCTCGCCCTTCCGAGCTTTCGACCCAACTAATTCGGGTAGTTTGGTTTATCATACAAACTTTTAAATAAGCACGGCCTGTATTTTTACGCAAGGAAGCAGCAATATAGTGTGTCGCATCTATTAGAACTCGATCACTGACGCTTAGTTGTTTGACTTTGTTCTTCACATACACTCGTCGGCCACAGAAATTATTTTTGAAAACTTATGTAGAATTATTTAATATCGCACTCATCATATCAACTAAGGGAACATTTCTAGTTGTCCTGCATGTTTGATGTAGCTCAAGAAGCCATATTTGGACTGATGGCATAGTAGCACTGCATGTAGTCAGTCAATAATATTCATTATTTATGATACAAAGCATAATTCAATATTATTTTGTTTCTTCATTATCGTGCATGCTAAATAAATAGGTACAGCGTGTTAAGAAAAGTAAGTCCAGCCGCTTACCACAAATTCATTCACCTTAAAGGAAGATAATTTTACCTTTTAAATTTGCTATATTTTTTTTGTCGTCGTTTTAAGGTTTGTAAGGTACTATTCGTTCTTTCCTATTGTAGAGGATGGCAGAATACCCTTAGCTATGATCACAACTATGAAGAAACTGAAATCTGGATATATAAATGGAACTCGTGTTACTTTAGGAAACCTATCCGAATTTCTAAACACCAGTTCAATTACAAACTTAAGTTTTCTTGGATGTCATGAAGATGGTGTTCCAGATAGTAAGTATACTAATTATTAATTGATTCTTATCAGTGGAGCGCGTGGTTCAGTACTTTTGGGGATGCACAATCTTAAAAAATCGGTGGCGCCGTTGATCAGCGACCAACCAATGCGATACTGACCAAACAAATCTTAACCGCAATATACTAAAAGCTGTGCACGTACTAAATGTGCACAATGTGAAAGAATCGAACTTTTTAGACTCGCGGTTATTCTACTAAACAAATGTTTACAAATTGTGCAGTAAACGATGCGATTAGGAGACAGAGTAAAGACTGACGTCGAGAACCTTGCATCGATAGATTGAAGGACTCGCTTTAATATTTATTTTCCGACGATCGTATTTTTATTTCTGATCTTTACGTTTTTGTACGATTCAGTAATTAATTTTATGATAGAATTATTTCAATTATCATAAAATATAAAATTATTTTTTAAGAAGGTACTTTGACTTATTGAGGAACCGTCTATGACGCGATTGCTTTTTTTTGGCGGTTTTTTTTAAGCTGAAATTGTTATCGCTTGCGGAGTCTGTACTAGGCATGTTGATTGCTCATACTTCAAATAGGCGAAGGTTAAAGATTAAAAAAAATTTAGAGTGCTTAAAGTTTGTCCTACGATAAACTCTAACTAAGACCAAGCTTATTCATAGATAAAAATGATATAAATATCTCATTGCATTTCCCGGGTTTATTGAAACAATACAGACTTTGCATAAAAAAATTATCATCATTTTCACTTAAGAAATCATTAATAGATAAGAAGATTCGCAAAAATGGTATAAGGAAGAGGATAAATGAATTTATGTTTTCTACTCTTCAGATGCCATTACTCAACTCAGTTAACTTTTCTGGCAAGCCAAGTCTAATTTAATATCTTTATTCTTATCGTAAAATTAATATTGTATTAAATTCATTATACAGCTTGTTCAAATAACATTTAAACAATGGGTACAGTTATTGCCCTAGTTTACGTCTCAATGCTAAATTCCTGAAACGGTACGCCCTTGTCAAGGATT